TATTTTGTTTTATTTTGTTTTGTTTTTGTTCTCTATTTCATTTTTTTTTTCTGCTCTGATCTTTATTTCCATCATTCTGCTAACTTTGGGTTTAATTTGTCCTACTTTTTCTAATTTCTTAAGATGTAGTTAGGTTATTTATCAAAATCTTTCTTTTTTCTTAATATAGGCATTTATCACTACAAACTTCCCTCTTAAAACTGCTTTTGCAGCATCCCATAGGTTTTGCTATGTTGAGTTTCCATTTTCATTTGTTTCCAGATATTTTTTTATTTCCTTTTTGATTCCTTCTTTGGCCCATTGGTTGTTCAAAAATGTGTTGCTTAATTTTCATATATTTGTCAGTTTTTTCAGCTTTTACCCTGTAATTGATTTCTAGTTTGATACCATCATGGTCAGAAAAGATATTTGGTATTATCTCAGTCTTTTTATATTTGCTACAACTTGTGTTATGGCCTGACATATGATCTATCCTGGAGAATGTTTTGTGTGTGCATGAGAAAAATGTGTATTTTGCTGCTTTTAGATGGAATGCTTTATATATGTCTGTTAGGTCCATTTGGTCTAAAGTATGGTTGTAGCTCAATGTTTCCTTGTTGATTTTCTGTCTGGATGATCTATCAATTATTGGAAGTGGGTTATTAACATCCCCTTCTATTATTGTATTGTTGTGTATTTCTCTCCCTTCTGACCTGTATTTGCTTACTATATTTAGGTGCTCTGACACTGGGTTCATATATATTTATAACTATTCTATCTTCTTGGTGAATTAATCCTTTTATCATTATATAATGACCTCATTGTCTCTTGTTACCACTTTTGGCCTAAGGTCTATTTTGTCTGGTATAAATATAGCTACCCCTATTCTCCTTTTATCTCTACTTGCATGGAATATCTTCTTCCATTTCTTCACTTTGAGCCTATGTCTGTTCTCAGAGCTAAAGTGAGACTCTTGGAGGCAACATACAGTTGGATCTTTTTTTATTCATCTAGCCGCTTTGTCTTTTGATTGGAGAATTCAATCCATTTACATTTAGAGTAAATATTAATAGGTAAAGACTTAACTAATGCCATTCTACAATTTTATGGCCATTTTGTGGTTCCTTGTTTCTTTCTTCTTGTCTTTCTGCCTTACCTTTCTGAACTGATGATTTTCCATAGTGGTATTCTTTGATTCCCTGCTCTTTCTCTTTTGTGAATCCAGTGTAGGTTTTTGCTCTGTGGTTACTATAAGGTTTACATAAAGCATCTTAGATATATAACAGTCTATTTTACATTGATAACAACTTAACTGTGATAACATACAAAAACTCTACCCTTCTACCTTCCCCCTTAATTTTATGGTTTTGATGTCACAAACTTCTTTTCATATCGTGTTTATCAACAAGTTATTGTAACTATAGTTATTTTTTTGTGATAGTTATTTTTAATACTCTTGTCCTTTCATCTTTATATGAGTTCAGCGGTTAACATCCTCCACAATACAGAATTAGAGATATCTGAATTTGCCTATATACTTACCTTTACCAGTATGTTTTATATGTTCATATGCTTTCATGTTACTAATTAATATCCTTTCATTTCAGCTTGAAAATGTCAGCGTTTCTTGTAAGGCAGTTTTAGCAGTAATGAATTTCTTCAGCTTTTGTTTGCCTAGGGAAGTCTTATCTCTCCTTCATTTCTGAAGAACAGCTTTGCTGAGTAAATTATTGTTGATTGGCATTTTTTTCTTTCATCACTTCAAATATATCATTCCATTCTCTCCTGTCCTATAAGATTTCTGCTGAGAAATCCACTGATAGCCTTATGGGGAGTTACTTGTGAGGTACAAGTTTTTTGTGGGTTTTTTTTTTCTTAGTTTTTGGTTTTTGGTTTTTGGGGTTTTTTGTTTGTTTGTTTGTTTTGCTGCTTTTAAGATTCTCCCTTTGTCTTTTTGTCAGTTTATTATAATGTGTCTTAAACAGAACTGTTTCAAGGTGATTTTGTCTGGTGACCTCAGAGCTTTTTTAACATGGATAACCAAATCACTCCCCAGATTGGAGAGTTTTTAGCCATTACTTCTTTACTTTTTCTTTTCTTTTTTTATAGTTGACAAATAATATTAAATTAGCTTCTAATGTACGGCATTATTTCTTTAAATAACTATCTCTCTTTTTCAACATTCCTCTGGCTATTCAGGGTCTTTTCTGGTTCCATACAAATTTTAAGATTATTTGTTCCATTTCTTTGAAAAAAGTGGATGGTATTTTGATAGGGATTGCAGTAAATGTGTAGATTGCTCTAGGTAGCATTGACATCTTCACAATATTTATTCTTTGAATCCATGAGCATGGAACGTTTTTCCATCTTTTTGTGTCTTCCTCAATATCTTTCATTAGTATTTTATAGTTTTCTGAGTACAGACTCTTTGCCTCTTTGGTTAGATTTATTCCTAGGTATCATATGGTTTTGGGTGCAATTGTAAATGGGATCAACTCCTTAATTTCTCTTTCTTCTGTCTTATTGTTGGTGTATAGGAATGCCACTGATTTCTGTGCATTGATTTTATATCCTGCCACTTTACTGAATTCTCACTGATATGAGGAATTCTTAATCTCAAGAAACAAACTGAGGGTTGCTGGAGTGGTGGGGGTAGGAGGGATGGGGTGGCTGGGTGATAGACTTTGGGGAGGGTATGTGCTATGGTGAATGCTGTGAATTGTGTAAGACTGTTGAATCACAGACCTGTACCTTTGCAGCAAATAATACATTATATGTTAAAAAAAGAAGAAGATAGTAGGAAGGGAAAAATGAAGGTGGGGGAATCGGAGGGGGAGACAAACCATGAGAGACTGTGGACTCTGAGAAACAAACTGAGGGTTCTAGAGGGGAGGGGGGGTGGGTTAGCCTGGTGATGGGTATTAAAGTGGGCACGTATTGAATGGAGCACTGGGTGTTATACAAACAATGAATCATAGAACACTACATCAAAAACTAATGATGTAATGTATGGTGATTAACATAACATAATTAATAAATAAATAAATTAGACCCCCCCAAAAAATAACTTTCTGTCTCCCTTCTCCTCTTCTCTTTTGGAACTCTAAATATTCACAAATTGGTCCTTTTGATGGTATTCCATAGATCACATGGACTTTCTATACTTGTTTACATGTTTTTTTCTTTCTACTCTTCCACCTGACCACAGGATGGAGAGGAGGTGGAGGGAGTGGGTGAGGCATGCAGAGCATTAGGGTGCTCATGGGCCCTTTGGAGGATCTGCAGGTGAGGCATTCTCAGTGGAACATGGGTAGGCTCTAATGGGATCCATGATGCAGTTAGGATCTGTGTTCCTTTAGCGTCCTCTGAGAGTTCTATTCGCCACTCTCCTTGCCTCTTCTTGCCTGCGAATCACATGATTCAGTACTCTGGATGGAGTGACAGAGAAATGGGCCCCTTTGGCAGCCTCCATACTGCTGGGAAGCTGGGTGCTCACCCACTCTTTCTTTTTCCCATAGGAGATAATCATGAGCCAAAGATTTTTCTTGGCCCTTAGCTGTGTCATCTTGGGAGAGGGATGATATAGATAAAGTCAAACTGTTCCTCTTCCCCACTCCAATGCCATCAAATATGTAATTTTTTTTTTTCTCCTGTAGAGTACTGGAACCTCTCTGGAAACCAGGATTTACACAAAGGATCTCTCATCTGTGAGTGATTGTCTAAGAGTGTTCACCAGGAGCTTCCAGACCATGGCCAATAGGGGCTGGAGCAGTTCACAGGCCACTGCACATTCCACAGCTAGGACTGAGGTCTGTTTGCCTATTGTCCAATGTATGACTCATCTCAAATCCCTGGGCGTATGGTGCTGGATCCCAGAGCTCCCTCAAAGATATTTTCGTCCATAGATGGATGATGAATTTTTATTATTGTGGGGGGAGAAGACAAAAACATGGGACATCTTAGGTTGCCATGATGCTAAAGTCACTCCTGACCACTAGATTTTAATTGGCTTTCTGTATGGATCCTCCTTTAGGAAGAGAAAGTACTGACCAGGGGCCCCCGGGTGGCTCAGTTGGTATCTGCTTTCAGCCCAGGTCATGATCCCAGGGTCCTGGGATTGAGCCCCGCATCGGGCTCCTTGCTCAGTGGGGAGTCTGCTTCTCCCTCTCCCTGCCACTCCTCCTGCTTGTGCAAGCACTCTTTCTCTCTGTGTGTCAAATAAATAAATAAAATCTTAAAAAAAAAAAAAAAAGAAAGTACTGACCGTACAAATATGAGTGTTTTAGTTCAGTGGCAGTTATATATCTTGTTACAAATATCAAATAATTCTTAAGTCAAATTTAAATAGCACACGAAATAGTTGTGAACAAAAAAAGAAATAAGGGCAAGTAGTATAGTATAAAAGGAAAATCAGGGCATGGGCTTTAAAATCAGACCTGAGATTAAATTCTACCTGTTCCAATATATAAACTGTGTGACATTGGACAAATCACTTGATCCCTCAGAGTCCTTGCTTCCTCAGCAGCAAACATGGATATTAACATGGGATTATTGGGAAAGCAAGCAATGATATATTTCTAATTTAGATGTCAGTTAATGCTATGTTTCCTTTTCACACTATGACCTCTGGAAATGCCAGTCTCCAACTTGCTCTGAGTCTCCTTGGTGCTGAATTCCATGGTCATCTCTTGTTTCTACTAAACATTTTATCTCATTTATATCCTGCCTCCTGTACCATTTTCTTTCCTCTAACGGTGCCACCCCATAGGAAGCACAACCCTTTCCTCTGATTTCTCCAAAGCACCACCACTCACACAAGGCATTTATGCCTAGGAGACATGAACAGAGTAATGACAGACTTAAAAATAAATATTAAAGATGTTGTGAGCTATTTTCTGTTCCCAACCAACTTTCCTATTAAAATTGCTTCCTCTTACTCCCAACATTTTCCTCATACTTCCTTCTCTAACTCCCAACCACCAAAGTTTCTGCTATATATCTTTTGAAAATCATGTAATTACCTTTTCTTCTCACTCCCAAGGACATTCTTGTTATGCTCAGGGAGGCTGGTTCTGAGAAGAACTTGGTGGTCAGCAGTTAAAGTCATGTTGTTTTCTCTTAGCTACATTCCTAAAATTCCTGAAAGAGCAGACATTCAATTAGTGGTAATATTATTATTATGTGTATAGATCTTCAAGGTAATGACCTTGAAATACTATTCTCATTTGAATATATAAATTCTTTTATGTTTCTTAAAAAGCCAGTCCTGGTACTTTATGGTTGCCTTTACAAATTACCATTCCCGAGACCATAGAGAATAATTTAATGCTTTTGTTTTTAGAGTACTGAAAAATAACTCACTAACATTACATTTTTTACTTATGTCCTAGCAAATGACATTTTTTCCCTTGTTTTGCTTCAACAATCACTTATTTTCCTGTATTAGATGTATTCTGCTTTGGATTTCAGAGAACCATTCCTGGGCATTCTCAATCTGTATGCCTCCTCTTGAATTGCTGATACTATCCCAATGGCCAGGGTATATTATATGATGTAAGCCTAGGAAATAGTACATTCCACTCCCTAGCCACAGATATTGGTCAGGAAATAGACAGGTTACCAATATCAAGAGAACCAGACCAAATGAGACTTAATTGAAGATGCTTTCAGGAAATCCATATGTGACTTACTCCCCTAGCTTCAGGAAAAGTTGTGGGTAACAGCTCCTAGACGTCAGCCCTCACTGGTAACTGTCTCAGTTGAAGAAACACACTGGCCTTAGGGTTTCCCAGGATAGCCTGCATTTGATAACTCATTGATGTCAGTGGTATAAAGACCCTGCCACTTTGCTTCAATGTGGGACACCCCAAAGGTCATCTCAGACCTTTTGGGTAATTAGTACCAACATAAAACTGAAAGTCATCCTTTAGGTCCCTAACCCTCAACATCCAATGAGTGCTTCCTATGCACCAAACCCTATGTCAAGTCCTTTATACCTCACCACTGATCTCTAAGACAATGACTGCTCTTATCTCCATTTTACAAATAAGAAAAATCCAGTTTAGAAATATGAAATACATTTTCAAGGTCACATAGTGAGTAAATGAAGAAAACAAATTGAGATTGTCTTCTATCTGCTCTAGGGCCCATACCCTGAGCCAACTCTTTATAGTGCTTTTGCATCAAACATCAACACATTCCCTTTTTTTTTTTTAACACAATCCTATTTTTAACTTTGCAACTTTACCCAGTCACTTTTGGAAAGGAATATTAATTATCTGGAGGCAATTTTTAAGTAAATGTTCTTGTTTGCCACAGGAATGGAGATTTATTCAAGTTACTTCATGCATAGTTAACATGATACATATGCTAACTAATAATGGAGACAGGGTCGCTTAGAATCTAGAAATAGACATACAGCCAGGCCTCTTGGAAAGACAAAATGGATATTTAAAAACCAAGAAACTCCAATCCCCAATTTATGTTGTTGCTTTTCAGCTATAGCTTGTTGATGTTCACTCTAGCTCTCATCAGTAGACATGGCTCAGTTCTTTCTCTATCATTTCTTTTTCCGGGCATATCTTTCCATTTATACTTCTTCTGCTAACTCTTGTATTCCTTCCCCATATCTCTAAGTCAAATTCCTGAAGGATAAAAATGATATATTGAGTAGAGCCTTTGAGTCAAACCTTCTCAAATGTTGTCGGCTGCCTATGATTGTTGCCCTTTGGTAAGTTCCAGTCCAAGAAGGTAAGGAAGAGTAGACACTGTAGGTACAGGAAATGGCCACCTATGCCAAAAGACACCCTGGCAAAGGTGCCCTCAGCCAGCAACCACAATAAAGAAGTTTTCCACTGAAGGAGACAGAACAGGCCGGCTTCTCCAGATTTGACCTGCCCAGTATGTTGTGGAAACCTTAATGGGGATTGAGTGTATATTTAATTCTTTATCACTAGGGTAAGACTTCTCACCCATTAGAAGAAATGACGTGGTTCTCTTTTTTGTAATCCCTACTTGTTGGGTTTAGGATTTCAAATGTGTTTCTTATGTAGGTTTATAGAATATGACCATTGAAAGGGACCATGAAAGTCATCTACTCCAGGATTTTCTTCTATGGGAAATATGACATTATGAAATAGCCTGTATTGTTTACAGATTTACTAAATGTGATCAATGTTAGAGGAATAATATGATCAGATCATTGTTTTATGAAGATAATATGGACAATGAGGTTAATGAGATATTGAAGGAAAAGAGACTGAAAGAGAGCAGTTAACATGCTTTGCAATAGTCTGGATGAAAGATATTAGAGTCTTACTAAGAAAGAGGCAATGGGAATGGAAAGAAGCACAAACCAGAGGTTTTTGTAGTAGGTAAAAATGAAGGTGTTAATGACAATGAGATAATGAGGTGGAGTGGAATGAGTGGTAAGAGTGACAGATGCTATGACATGAAGATAAGTGGTGATTTTAGAGACTATGGTGCCTATAGTTAAGACAAGAAGTACAGGTGGAGCAGAGGATTTTTCTGTAGGGAAAAGATGGCATCTGACACATGATTTTGAACATGTTGCATTTGAGTTTTCTTCAAGTGATCCAAGTGGAACTTTCCAGAAGGAAGTATAAATCTGGGGTTGGAACTTAGAATAGAGATTGGAACTGGTCATATAAATTTGGCAGCATATGCTTTATTCTAACCTTTCCACTTTGAATATTACTTCCAATAAAGAGAACATGCCAAAAATAATGTGCATTTATTTCTTTCTCTATCTCCCAAATACAGGTTATCTCTTTTTTTAATTCCTTAAAACATACCAAATTGCTGAGAAAGAAAAAAAAATCCCAAAAGATTACATACTGAATGATTTCATTTGCATAATATTTTTGAAAAAACATGAAAGTACAAACTTTTAGAAATGGAGAACAGATTAATTGTTACCGGGGGTTGGGCAGGGGGTACTGGAGGGCAGTGGGTGTGGCTATAAAGTTCCATAGTGATGATGCATCTTGACTGTGGTGATAGTTCCGTCAACATACACTTGTGATAAAATTATATATAACTAAACATATACACACATTAGTACAAGGAAAATTGGGGAAGTTAGAATTAAGATTGATGAATTGACAAATGTTAATATCCTGGTTGTGATATTGTACTATAGTTTTCAAGATGTTACCATTGGGGAAAACTTGGTAAAGCATATATGGGATCTCTGTATCATTTTTTTTAAATTTTATTTTATTATGTTATGTTAGTCACCATAAAATACATCATTAGTTTTTGATGTAGTGATCCATGCTTCATTGTTTTCATGTAACACCCAGTGCTCCATGCAGTACGTGCCCTCCTTGTATCATTTCTTGTCACTGCATGTGAATCTACAATTATCTCAAAATAAAAAGTTTAGTTTTTAAAAAATAGTAAGTCTAGATAACTTTGAAAAAAAAATTTCTCCTTATCTTTCCTCCATTTGCCTCCTTGATTCAGGAAAGGTTTGTGGCAAGCTCCTGGAAATAATTAGGTTTAAGGAGAAAGGAATGCCCCCAAAGTCTAAGAATAATTTGACCTCATTGAGAAGGAGTGGGATGAGGAAATTTGGAGAAAAAAAGAAAAGCAAGAGAACAAAGGAGAGATTGAAGAGTCCTTAGATAACACCAGATAATTGGGACAGAAATAAGGGATGTTTCAGCAAAGGTCCTTGTCAGAAAGAGAGAAGATGCTTGAGGAACCAAAAGTTACATGGCACCTAAGCCATGGTCCACAGACTAGTCAACCCTCTCTAAGGTGTTCACAACCTATCTCCAGCCTATGCTAGCTGTCATAACCACCAGGGGCCTATGAGGGCGCACCCCTTGGTAAGCAGTTAGCACCTTGTTCAGTGAATGTACAGTAATGCTTATCCATAACCTGATATTTTTTGGCCTTGTCCAAATTACCCCCCACAATGTTCCAACATATTTGTAAAGCCAAAGAAAGGAAGGTAGAACCTGGACATCTAGTGAACAGTGATAATTGAAGGAGGTGCTCTTCTATCTATATTTAGGGGATGATGTTAAACAGGGCCAACTTGAGACTACCACCCTCCACCCCCAGAAAGACTCAACCCAGCTACAGTACCTTTCTGTTTCTTCAGCATTCATCTTAAGCCTATGGAAAGTCTGGATTTTAGTTTTCTATCATACTTTATGTCTTTTGTTATATAAGTCCCCTTTCAACATTAGTGAATATGTTATAAAATTGGAGCTCAGCAAAGAGATTTTTATGCAGCCACACTAGTTTCTTTATATTTCTTTACCTTTTATAGTGCATTGGGACTATGTGTATTTTGTTTTCTAAATTTCCACTTTAGGGGACTTCTACCTATCTTAAGCCACATTCCTCTATATAAACACCTGCTAATGAACTACACTTTCCTCTGATTTTGTTTTAATTTTATTTCCTCCACGTTAATCCATATGTAAGATTATCCCAGGAATTACCTTATTTTTTTCTTATTATGAAATCTGATATGTGTTCTATTACTTCTGCATCACCAGTGAGTTCTTCCTTCCTGGTAAGCATTAGCTCCAAAGTTCTTCATGTTACAACTTCTGTCTTCTTGGAGAACAAAGTCTCATCAAGGCAATTGAAGAGTTTATCAAAGCCCTGCTTTCAGCAGAATAAGGCTTTCAGCAGATGTCTGGGTAGTTCAAGTTTCTTATCACAACCAGATCATATTCCTGCACCTGTTTTATAATTTGTATGGGAGTGCGTCATTCCCTTCCTCTAACTGCCCAGCCATCCACAGTAGTGATATCACATCTGTTTCCTTCCACTTTACCCTTAACCAGATGTTCTCAGCTGTGTTTCCAAAGTCAGGTTTATTAACTTTCTTCTGTAAAAAACTTCTTGAGAGACAATGATATTCTCCAACCATTTCTATTAGGTACATTTCTCTTGTGATTTCTCAATTTCATTGCTGCTTATGGTATTGGTGATTCTTATGGGCACATGTATATCAATTTGTGGTGAAATCATTAGTTATTTTACTACTCTCTGCAGCAGTATGTAGGTACTTATAACTGTGGTCAATCATGACCTTCTTATTTACTTTTCCCTCTGACAGTTAACAAATCCTTCTTCCTCTAAGGAGAAAGCTGTACCACAACAGTAATTCTTGATGATATGAAAATTTTACAGAGTTCTTTGGGGACATTTCTTTTCTTTCCCCTTAATTTTCACTTTTTAGAGGCCCTTTCTAACAGGTTGCTGACACTCCTGTTTAAATATGTTCTTTTCAGGCAATTGCCCAATGAGTCAGAAGGAACAGAGTTTATAAAATGCTAAGAAAAATCATTCTCATCTAAATCATTGTTCAACTTGTTTGACAGAGAGCATACAAATTTAAATGGGGGAGAAAAAAATCCAGTTCTTCTCATGTCTCCACGTAATTCCAAGAGGACAAATTGCATTATATGGATGAAGCAGGAATTTTTA